GCGTGCCCCCCGCCAGCCCGGGGAGCCCCCCCGCTCCCTGCGCGGCGAAGCCGCCGAGGTCCACGAAGGAAGCTCGGGAGGGAAAAAACACACAGACACAATTCATCGTCGATTCCCCCGAAAATATGGGAAAATATGGGAAGAGGGGGGGAAGACGAAAACCCAGAAAATGAGGGAAAATAGGGGAAATACTTTTATTTGTGTGTATTGATTTGTGTGTCCCAGGGCCCCTTCAGAAGCCCCTGCTCTGGTCGGCGGCGCGCCCTTCAAGGGGGGAGGGCAGAGGGGCCGAACCCTCGCGGACACGGGCCTTCTGAGAATCTTTCGGGTCCACCCCCGAAGACACAGATCGGGCGCGAAAGCATCGAGGAGGAAAACAACGCATCAACATAAACTGTTGGCGCTCCGCGCGGATTTCTTGGATTCGCGCTGGACCCCCTCCCTGGCGCGCGGAGCGGGCCAGGGGCGGCGCCGGAGGCGCCGCCGTGGGGCCCAGGCGGAGCGCCAAAAGTTTATGTTTATGTGGTGTTTTCTTCTTCTAAAGAAGGACGTACACGTACATCCAGGCCTCCTAGATGGGGTCCGAGCAGAAGCCACAGATCAGGAGCGAAAGAAGGACTTTCACTGTGATTTCGAGAAGTACGCAATGCGCGAACGCGGCTGGTCTCGCGGATTGGGGTGCCGTGTTCACGGACGTGGTTGGACGCGTACGTCTTTTGTGGGCTCCCTAACAGAGTGCCTCTAGAAGGCTGGAGGGCTTCCGAGAAGAGAAAAAACAAACAATATCACAAAAAAAACGATTTCTGAAAAGGCCTTCTTGCCAGCCTGGAACATGTCCTTGTCCCTATGACTGGCATCGCCTCGTCTCGATGCCGATCCCAAGGATTCCCTCATTCTTCGAGAGCGCATCCCTAAGAGTGTCATCGCCTTCTGGCTTGTCAATACGTATTACGGATAGGGCTATGATGTTTCAACCTACTGTAGCCTTGTTCACCAGAAAGAATTTCGAGCACCAAGAAAGTACCGAAATTTGAAGGTTTTCACGCGTCGGGCCCTGGGAGGCGACACTCGTTCGACACTGTTTCGACACTTCTCTGGGTGCTCGAAATTATTTTTGGGCTGTGGCCCTTTCAGTACGATGGGGGCAGCATAAGGATAGGGATAGGTTCGAGGCTGGTGACCTGCCCCCTCTCCCCTCCCCCTCTCGGCGCGCCGCCGACCGGCAGAGACAGCCGAGGTCACGTCTCGGGCGTCGATCGGCCAAGGCCCCCACCCCAAGTAAGATCCCTCCTCCTCCTCTTCCTCCTCCGCCTCCTCCTCCTCCGCCTTTCTCCTCCCTTCCTCCTCCTCCTCCTCCTCCTCCTCCTCCTCCTCCTCCTCCTCCTCCTCCTCTCCTCCTCCCTCCTCCTCCTCCCCTCCCCTCCCCCTCCCTCCTCCCTCCTCCTCCGCTTCCTCCTCCTCTTCCTCCTCCTCCTCCTCCTCCTCCCCCTCCTCCTCCTCCTCCTCCTCCTCCTCCTCCTCTTCCTCTTCCTCTTCCTCTTCCTCTTCCATCGCATCCGGCCAGCATCGGGGCGCTGGTTGGCCAGCACCACGTGGCCCGTTGCCCGCGAGGCCCTCGCCGTCGAGTGGTCGAGAGGAGTGGGCGTCGCCTCTTCGGCGAGAAGGAGGCCGAAGGCCAGCAGAAGGTGGCGGAGGTCAAACGGGGGCGGTTCCGCTGGCCCCATGTGTTTTCTCTCCACCCGTGCCTTTCCCTCGGGGCGCCGCGGTACGACGTTCGCGGCGTTCCACTCTGCTCCCCGCCAGCCCCAGGCGCTGGCTGCCACTCCCCGCCACCCTTGCCGCCGTGGTTCGCCACGGCCGCCCACCGCACTCTGGCCCTGCGCGCCTGGCTGCTGCTGCCCCCCCGGCTGCTTATCGTCGAACTCTCCGGCGTCTGAGCGTCCCTCCTTCCTCTCGGCCGTCCCCCCCCCCTTTCTGGTGCCAAGAGGTTTCAAAATCTCCCCGCCCGAGCTCCTGGGACCCCCAAAGCGGCCGTACTGGGGCCAGGGGCCAGGCCTCGCTGCTTCAGTTCTCTGTCTGTCCGTGGCCTGGGCCAGGGCGGGAGCAGATTGTCGGATCCTGGCACGTCCGCTAACGCAGGCCCTAATACATGCCCTGGGTGGCCGGCTGCAGGCGCGCAGTCTACCATCGAAGAGGCTTGCATATGTTTTGACATCATGCCTTTGCATGTGCCTCTTCATGTGGCGCTGTCCGCTCGCCGCAGCCAGATTCTTTTTGGAACCCGCGTGGAAAAGGCCCATCAAGTGGCCGGTGGCCCATCTCGCCACCGGGCCTGGGTCGTGGACTAGAGGCGTCTTATAAGGCTTGGCTTTGGGGGAATCTTGGAGGCCTCCTGGGAGACTCTTAGGAGCCCGTTGGCGGTCGATGGGCCATCTTAGAGGAGGAAAGGTCTCGAAATATCCGCTCGTGTCCCCCCTCTTGGGGCCGCTTGGAGAGCCCAGCATACCTTAGCCCAGAGGCCGTTTTGTGGCGATCTTGGGGACCTTCGAGGCCACTTAGGGTGTTTCTTAGTCCGAAGAGGCCCATACGCGCGAATAAAAGACAAGCATTAAGTGTTTCAAACATGTTGGAAATGCGGGTTCCAATCCACGCTCCCGATGCGTTTGGAAAAGTTCACCGGTGCAAAAAAACATGGAAGCCCCAGAGAGCGCAATTCCCGGGGCTCTCTTGGGCTTGTTTTTTGGCCGTTTTGGAGGCTCTAGAGGCAAGCCCAAGAAGCCCAATTCATTGAAAGCCGTGAGGTTGATGTACGATATTTGCCCACATCATCATTGGGTTAATGTTTTTTCTCCGGAGTTTCCCGCGAAGCAACATCTCTCCTATCCTCAGCATGTTCCTCATGATCCGCCTCCTCCTCCTCCTCCCCCTCCTCATCATCATCCTTCTCCACATCCCCCTCCTCCTCCTGATCATGATCGTATCATCAGCAGCAGCATCATCATCGACACCGTCATTATCAGAATCAAATCAACACCATTGCCATCGCATCGTTGCAAACAGACATGTTGTTTGACACATGGTATTCCCAACGTACGCTGTCGTTACCAGTTGACTCCCTTCAAGCCACCTTATATTTATCATCCAAGGCGGCTATCGAAATCATGTGCAGAATCACATGCATGTACAGGCGACCTTGCGCGGTCCAGAGAGAGCCATGTGAATCTGACCATTCCCGAGACCCCAGGACCACAACGCATTGCAAAATACCAAGTTCGCATCCTCCTATTGGCTCCCCCTGAGGCCTCCCGCGAGATGTTTCTAGTCCGAGCTGGCTATCGGTATCATGCGTATGAAATACAGGCATTTAGTCGACCTCGGGTCTTCTTTGCATCGAAGAGTAAAAGTTTCGAACTTTCCCGGAGCTTCCAGGGCCACCTAACCTTTGCCAAAGACATCACAAAGTTCCCCACATCCTCAGTGGGGCTCTCAGCTTATCCAGGGCCCCGCGCAGGCACGGGAACTTTACAAGCATCGCCGTCACCATCGTCACCGCCACCACCACCGCCAGCAACATGAGTGCCATCACTATGATCAACACATGATGCCCCAAAAAGGTTAACGTGTTCCACTGTTGGGCTCCAGGTGCTCCAACATGCTCGAACCGTCCTCATTGTTTGGCGCATGAGGCACCCAAACTTAAAGTTGCCGTTGCCTGTCGGTTGCCCTTAAGGCATATGACCTTCTGCTTGTAGCCCGAGGCGGCGACTGAAAACGCTGTAAAACAGCATGTCGTGCCACACCTGCTGTACCCAAACGTACAGCCGTTATCATAGTTCGGCCCCATTCGGGCCGCCTACCTTATCTGTGTAATCCGAGGCGGCTAGAGTAAATAGTAAAACGCCATGTTGTGCAACACCTGCTGGTTCCAAACGTAGAACTGCCGGCACTTGAGGGCTCCTGATGCTTCCAAACGTAAAGCCGTTGTCACTTGTTGGCCCCTGTTGCTCTCAAACATAAAACTGTCACGATGCGTTGCAGATGCTCACTCACGGGCAACAAGATGTACCTTTCCCGAGGTTCTTATTATTGCTCACACTCTCGCCCGTGGTTTCTACCTCCTGTTGGATCCCCCTTAGATGTTCAAGCGAGGCTCCACCAGTCGGTTAATCGGATACTCGCCTTTTCGCCCGCATGAACGCCGAGACGGCCCAAGAGGCCCCTAAGAGAGCCCCGAGAGGGCCCAAAAGGTTTTCCAGAAGCCTATTCAGAAGCCTTCTGGGGGCCTCTTGGGGTGCTGCTCGGAGGCCTCTCGGGACCTCTAGGGGGGCCTCTTGGAGGCCTGCTGGCGGTCTCGGGGGCCAACCTGGAGGAAAGAGCTCGGAATGTCAGTTCGTGCTCCCCCTCTTGGGCCCATCAGGGAGCCATCTTGGAGGCCTCTTGGGTCCTCTTGGGGATCTCGGGGGCCGTTCTTTGGTAATATTGGGGCCTACTGGGCCGTCCTGGACACTCTGGAGGCCGAAAAGGCGAGCACACGTAAATCCAGCAAGAAAAAACATAAGGGGTCTTGAATGGCCTTGGCATCTCAGGCCCGCCCCCGTCCAAGACGGCCGAAGAGACCACCAAGAGAGCTCCAGGACGGGCCGTGGGACCATCTTGAGCCATACTGGACGTGTGCATTCCAAGCCACGCTCCCGAGGCCTCTGGGAAAGTCATGCGGAGGGAGGAGAGGCAGGTAAAAACGTTCTGAAGCGCCCGAGAGCGCCCATCCAAGAGCAGCTACACGGCTCAACACGGAGAACTCGAAGGGGCCAAGGACACCCCTTACAGAGCCTACGCCACGATGGCGGATGTGAGGCGTCAGCTGCGAATTTTCGCAAATGTCGGACCGGAATGGAAGGTCGTCTTCTGTTTGTGAGGTGCAGAAGGATAAGTAGGAGCAATGTTCTTAACAATGTGGATGTGTGCTCCAGGTCTTGGGCAACCACGACTTCGGGGGGTTCATGTTCGTGAGCGGGTGGGACCAGGCGCTGCATTACACGTGGCTGCAGGAGTTCCCCAGTACCAATAGGTGGGTTACACCTGCGCTCTACTACCAATCGAAGGTTGGGTATTGAAAGCCTCATTTACTTCCCCTATGGCTCGACCCAAGGAAGGGGCGCTCTGAGGTCATTGTATGGCTTCGCGTCCGGGTCCCATTCGCTGGTGTGCCAGTGCATTGCAGTCGCCATCGTTGGGCTCCACAGACGGCAGTCCAAGCAGTGGGTCGTCCGATCGATGGTTGCTCTGGGACGAGAGCCGAGAAACTGTTCTGACGAGTCTGCATTGCACGCGAGTGCCAAATGCCGATGTTGGTAGAGAGCGGTTCGTGGTGCTCTCATCGACCAAACTCCTCCTAAGAGAAATCGCAGCGTCAACTGATGCGGAGCAGGCGCGGCATGCTGGGCGTTGCTCGACAAGCTCGTTAAGATAAGCGCTTCTCGTGGGCAGCACAGAGATGCAGCAGTGCGCCAACATTGAGCACGCGACGGGGAGGGGCGTGGACGCCAACCTTCCGCAAGTGTACAAGTTTGTGCATAGCGTAGTAAAATTAATTCCCAGCTCAGTTCACATTGGTCCAGGTCCGCGCAGCCTATCATAACATCGATTCAAATCGTTTGGTTCAGCTTAGCTCGACCGAGCCGAGTGTACTGCATCGTACCCGTGCGGTGCATAAACTAGCGCACCTTAGTTCAACTAGTTTCAGCTGAACGACATTCAGATAAGTGATGTTAGGTGTGCTTGGCTATGCCGAGTCTATTCCAGTTTCTATGTATTGGGTTGTGGTTAGCTTGCACTAGAAGCCGAGTGCCGCGTTGCTTAGCCTGACTTGTCATACATCAGTACATGTGAGTTTAGCCTAGCCGGTCCCTTCCTAGCCAAGCGTAGCTTGGCATTGCGTCCCGTAGCTCAGCGCATCGCAGGTCCTCGGATATCGACGGTTGCAAGGATTGTATGAAATTTCATAAAGATGACAGAGCGCACCAATTCGTGGTCCAGGGTGGCGGCGCAACTCCTGGCGCAGGATGACACAGTTGCCCACCTCCCGATCCGGGGAGGGCGGCGCAACCTATGGGGCAGGCTTGCAGAGCGCATGACTTTGCGATGCGGGGGGCGTCACCACCTGTTGTGCAATGTTCGGCTGCCCCGATGCGAAGGTGCCATGGGTCAAACTCGCGATTCGGAGGGGCGGTGCCGCGCTGCTCCGTGCCGTGGCGTGTACAGTGGCGCACCGTGTCGTGTCTTGTGCTCGCACGTGCTGGTCGGGGTCTCTTGGTGGTGTGGACTTACTGTTTGCTTCGCCTAGCTCAACCGGGCCTGTCTTTGCTTGTCATAGCGAAGACGCCTACTGCGAAGTACAGCCTTCTTTCTGAACAGCGCCGCTGTGGCCACAAGTTTGGGTCTGGAGCTTGACCACACTGTTGACGCTTCGCGAATCCCCACCAGCCCATCCAGAAACGATGCCCAGAGGAATTGCCCCGATCAGGGAAGTGAGCAGCACACAGAGGAAGCCATTATGAGACATCCTGGGATATCTTAAGCCATCTTGGAGGTCATTTTGGGCTCTCCCGGGCGCTCTTGATCTGAATCAGTGCCCCCCAAAAAGGCCAACATATGGCTAAAACCTTTCTGTATAATCGATGATTTGGCATTCTCGCCGAGGCCTCTTGGAGCATCTTGGGTGCCTCTTGGGGGTCTCTTGGGGCCTCCTGGGGGCCTCTTGGGAGCCTCTTGGGGCCATCTTGGGGCCATCTTGGGACCTCTAGGCGCTCTCGGGGCCATCTTGGAGGAGATCGATCAAACAAGAGGGGAGCATGAATTAGGGTCCCCCCCCAGGAGGCCAAAATGGGGCCAAAACCTCAGTAAAACCAATGATTTGGGTTTCCTCGCCGAGGCCGTTTTGGCTTCTCGCCGAGACCTCTTGGAGCATCTCGGGTGCCTCTGGGGGGTCTCTTGGGGCCTCTTGGGGGTCTCTTGGGGGCCTCCTGGGGGCCTCTTGGGAGCCTCTTGGGGCCATCTTGGGGCCATCTTGGGACCTCTTGCGGCCTCCTGGGCGCTTCTTGGGGCCATCTTGGAGGAGATCGATCAAACAAGAGGGGAGCATGAATTAGCGTCCCCCCCCCAGGAGGCCAAAGTGGGGCCAAAACCTTAGGAAAACCAATGATTTTGGCTTCCTCGCCGTGGCCGTTTTGGCATTCGTGCCGAGGCCTCTTGGAGCATCTTGGGTGCATCAGGGGGGGGCCTCTTGGGGCCATCTTGGGACCTCTTGGGGCCTCCTGTGCGCTTCTTGGGGCCATCTTGGGTGAGATCGATCACAGGAGGAGGGGGTGCTAGTTAAGGGCCCCCCAGGAGGCCAAAATGGGGCCAAAACCATAGTAAAACAAATGATTTTGGCTTCCTCGCCGAGGCCGTTTTCGACGCTCCGACGACTCGCGGAACCCCTTGTCCAGGTCCATGGGGAGGGGGTAGAGGAAGGGGTAAACCCCTCCCCGAAGGGGAAGAAGGAGGGGTGGAAGAGGAAACGCCCTAAACCACCGACGCCCAGAGGGCTGGTGGGACTATATGACGAGGTGTTCCCCGAGCCGCTGGGGGGACCACGTGGGGGGGGAAGACGTGGGCGAAGAAGAGGAGGATGAGGAGAGGGAGGAAGGTTTCAATGGTTGTCTGATGCCTCTGGGTGATTTCCAGTTCTGAACTGTCAACCACGCGGTCAATGATCGCGTGGCGATCACCTGTTCCGGTTGTGCTGCCGCCAGTCGCACAATCGGTTCATTGTATGGCATGGCGACTATTTCGCGAGGTTGATGCCACCTTGCATCTTCTCAGCCCCCATGAGATGTGACCGTCCTCTGCACAATCCAGACTGCGTACGGCTCGGGTGGCGGGCGGGGCGTTTGTTTTTGCTGTCCGAAGGTAGTGTATCCTGACTTCTCTGTGGACTATTATTCGATAGCCGACAGGCTGTTCCGCTGAATGTTGCATGAGTCGCAGTTGATGGTCGCATGTAGATCGGGATCGTTTTCGTCACGACAGGTTTCATGAAAGGATTTCGACAGCTGTGGTGGATAATTCGGATTGTTATCAATGTGAGCAAGTCGACAGGGCGAAGGCGCGCCAGCGAAGAGAATGAAGTCTTCCAGCTTGAGGTGTGATCATGTGAGTGATAAGCACTGACTGTGCACTGGTCAGAGCGACCAGTATTCGTGGCAACGTTGCATTGGCGAGGTAGTGGCCCTTAAATGTACGGCTTGGCGCGGGCCTTGGGGATAGCTTTCCATTAACAGCGAATGTTGTGACGGCGTTTCATGATGTGTGAAGTTACACCGGATGAGGCAACGGACGATTTGGTGGCTTGCATGATGTCTGGCGCAGCCTATGGTGCAACCACTGAGAAAACGTACGATGCGGGGGCCTGCTGGTGTCACGTGCAACCAATGAACCAACCTGCGACATACGACGGACAATCTAGTAGCCCTCAGGGTGTCTGGAGCAACGTATGGCACAGCCACTGAGGCAACGCTCAATATTGAGAGCCCCAGCGGGTACGGCGCAACCTACACACACATACACACACACACGCACTCACAGTGTGGCAATGGGCGACAATAGTTTGCTTTGTTGCCCGTTTGATGTATGGTACAATGTTTGGCATGACCAATAGAACAGCACATCGTATATTGAACGGGGTGCACCCACTGAGGCCATGGACGATTTCGTCGCCTGAGGTATCTGGCGCAATACAGATTTAAAGAGATCGGTACACCCACTCAGACACAGGACGGTTTGGTGGATGGCGGTGTGCCGGGCGCAGCCTATGGCACAGATTATTCCTGGAGCAGCGCATGTTGCAAGGGCTCTCTAGCCCGTTGGAGGGATCACCCACTGAGGCAACGTTCGATCTGGTGGCCCGCGGCGCATACGGCGAAACTTATGTCACACACACACATTGAGGCAATGGACGAGCGCGGCCCGCCGGGTGGATAGCAAACTCCAGATCGCAACCTATGCAGCAACAAGTAGTAGACAGGATGTCATGCCCCAGTTGAGGCCATGGACGAGTTGGTGGCCAGCGGTGTGCCTGGCGCAATACATAGTGATAGCAAGGTCCACCCACTGAGACAGGGGACAGTTTCATGGATGGTGGAGTGTCGGGCGCCGCCTGTGGCTTGATTAATTTCCTGAACAGCAAATGTTTCAAGGGTTCCGTATGCTTGTATGCTTGTAAAAAAAGAGAGATAAGGTGCGATTTGGTGACCCACTGGGTGTCTGGCGCAACCGGTGTCGCAATTTATGGCACACTCACTGAGGCAACGGGCGACCTCGTTCCCCACAGGGTGTCTGACGCGTCATATGGGGCAACATATGGCACATCCGGTCAGCCCGCTGGGTGTCTGGCGCAACCCGTGGCGCAGCTTACAGCAAAACCGATTGAGTTAACGGACGATCTGATCGCCTACGGAATGTTTGTCGCAATATTTGGCGCAGCATTCGGTAGGTGTTGTTCATGGTCTCTTGGTGGAGTGCAGTTGCGGCACACGGATTTCAGAAGAATGACACAAGGCTTGGAGCGTATTGCATGGGGTTCCCCTTGTTTTTCTCGGACAGAGGTTTGGGAAGATGGGGGCCGACAATGGGGATCTGGGGTTGCAAGAAGGGTTTTCCCTCAAGGAGGTTAGATCGCAGTTGGAGAACAGCTAGATGCCCGCGACTTTATCACTGCTGGAAGCAGGCGCGCATGCGCACAAGACCAACGATGGTCAAATTGGTGTCAGCGTGCCAAACATAGGGGAACCGTCCGTCCTACATTGAGCTGTTGATCGGGCGCTGCTTCAACGCAGTCGCGTGCCGTGCAGTCTGCTTTGCAGCAATTGAGGCCGAAGCTTTGTGCAGACTGATCACTGATGGCGTCGGTGCGTGGAGCGCTGTCATTTCACTACCTAGTTCAAGAGCGTCCCCGATCACGGTGTGCCAGGGTCCCCGTGGCTTGGGGGGCAAGAAAATAGTACCACCCAGCTGCGGCTACAGGCACTCCGGTACCAGCAGGGACCTGCGGATTTTGTGGACACTAACGTGTGGGATACGTGGCTACCACACGCAGAGCAGCGGCACAATCTCTGCTCGCGCAACCACAACCCGCCGAACCTCGAAGCGAATTGTGGGGCGGCTGGCCCAGTCTCTGTCGACGAATGCCCAGACTGGTTCAAGAGTCTTTGGAAAGCCAACGTGGAGTGGATGGACAATTCGATGCCTCTCTCCGAGGCCGAGTGGCAGATCGTCGTGACGCATTTTCCACCCGAAGGCAACTGGGGCGGCGCAGAGTGGGCCAGGTTGTCCGCACAGCATGGGATCGACCTCATACTGGCGGGCCACCGCCACCGCCAGGAGGTCCACACCTCCTCGCAGATCGCCCCCACCACGTACGTCGTCTCTGGCGGAGGAGGCGGCATCACCTCCGAGAACCTGCCGGACGCAGGAGGCGACGACGACGAGTACGGCTTCGTAGACATCACGCTCTCGCGCTCCGAGATCATGCTCGAGCTGATCTCCCACGGAGGCATGATCAGAAGCACCACCTGCATCACGCCGCGGGACGCGGGCGCAGGCTCCTGGGACGGGGGGGCGGCGGGCACGGCCGCACGCTGCCCTTCCCCGAAAGGCGTCGGGGGCGAAGGGCGGGCACAGATCGAGGCGCGTGGATCGGCGACGGGCCCCGTCGCCTCACGGCGCCGCCGCGCTCCGCCGCGCCAGCCCGGGCGGCTCTGGCCGCGGGGGGCACGGCCGCGCGCGCCCTCCCCGAGAAGCCAACGAGGGGGAGGGGGAGGGGGAGGGGGAGGGGGAGGAGGGGGAGGAGGGGGAGGAGGAGGAGGAGGGGGAGGAGGAGGAGGAGGAGGAGGAGGAGGAGGAGGAGGAGGAGGAGGAGGGAAGCGCTCCGCGCCCCGCTTCCCTGCAGAGTGGGTGCGCTCCGTCGCCAGCTCGGGCTCCCTCGGGGGGTCGCGTTTTGTGGTCCTCCCGGCAGGCACGCTGAACTGGCTGCAGGAGCCGTCGCTGTGCGAGGGGCGCCCCTCTGGTCCGCAGCGACCCACGCAGACAAGCACGACGCCGGCGCCGCCTACCGGCGGTGACTGGGGCGGCGATGCAGCCGCGCTGCCGAGCGATTCCGACCTCGTGTGCCGCGGCCGCGACGGCGCCCGCCGAAGCGCCAAGGGCGTCGTGTGTGTAGGCGTGGTTTCGAGGGCGTCGGGCCGTCGCGCGTTGGTTCGTCGCTCTCAGCGTCCACTCGACGGCGTGTTCGCCCGCGCGTGATCATGATTTGCCTTAGCCTCGCGGCTAGCACGCGGCACCTCGCCGTCGCCAGGTCAGAACTCGGTTCAGACAGTTGGTCAGGGCGGCGTCGAGGAGCATCCTCCTTCTCCTCCTCCTCCTCCTCCTCCTCCTCCTCCTCCTCCTCCTCCTCCTCCTCTCCTCCTCCTCCGTCGCGCACGTCCTCTTCTTCCTCCTCCCCCTCCTTCTCGTTCCTCCTCCTCCTTGTCCTTTCTCTCGTTCCCATCTCCATGTCCCTCCCCGCGAGGTCTGTACGCGTGAGTAGGACAGGCGTCTCTGAGGCCTCCTGGCCGCGGGTCCGGCTCGGCTCGAGCCGGAAGTTGGCGTGACGTTTTTTGGTTGCAAGCCAGGTACAGTGAGCCTGGACCTGAGCTTTATGGACCTGAGCCTTATCCCGCATGGGGGGAGCTCGAGCTGCGCCAGCGGCGCATGACCTGGGCCACAGGTAGATGCAAATAATGGACTTGTTTGGGGATGGTGGACACGTTTGGGGCTGATCCTGTGAGACGTGTCCTCATCTGGCATCTGCCATCGTGTCCCGCTCGGACATAAACGTACGGATACACTGTGGCTACACGCGTCGCGGGCACGCGCGTGACAGTGCATCTGTGTGTGTGTTCGCGTGTGCCTTGTTTCTCGCCCCACTGGGTTATGTGAAATCTTACGGATGCGGGAGCAATTCCGAAAATCCAATCCAAACATGAATGCGAGTTTGAAAGTGGCCCGATGGTTCTGTATTCCAGCTTGAGGCGCGGGGATTGAAGAACCGATGCCACTCTTCAGACCAGGCTGTCTGCCAAGCTAACCTGGTTGGAGAGAGTGCGAGTCTGAACAACTTGCGAAGTAATCTCTGGAGTGTGTCCCCCGTGAAAAAAAAAGGTCACGGATCAGAAAAGAGTGTTTTTATTCCCTACCTAGGCTCTGCGTAGAAGGGTTCTTATTCGCTTGGCTTAAAGGGGCCCGGCAGTGCAAACCGCCCCGGGTGGTTCCCCCAGTCCCCTGGGAGCCAAGCACAAGCAACAGCAAAGGTAAAAGCAAACGCGCGGTTCCCCCAGTTGCGCTCCCTGGGTGCCAAGCAAAAGCAAAAGTGAAGGCAAAAGCGCAGGCAAAGCAAAAGCATAGCATAGCATAGCATAGCGCAGCATAGCATAGCGCAGCATAGCATTGCATAGCCTAGCCTAGCCTAGCCTAGCCCAGCATAGCATTGCGCAGCATAGCATAGCATAGCATGGCATAACATAGCATAACATAGCATAGCATAGCATAGCATAGCAGCATCCACTATTGCTGCTGCTACATATTTATGTACTTATATGTTTGTGCGCACGTATGTGCCACGCATGAATGCAATAACATGCGTGTGTGTGTGCGCAGGCAAAGCAAAAGCAAAACCAAGCAAAAGCAAAAACAAAAGCAAAGCAAAAGCACAAGCAAAAGCAAAGGCAAAGGCAAAAGCAAAGACAAGAGCAAAAGCAAAGGCAATGCAAAGCAAAAGCAAAACCAATGCGAAAGTGTAGATGTAGATGTAGCTGTAGGTGTAGGTGTAGATGTGGATGTAGGTGCAGATGTAGATGTAGATGTAGATGTAGGTGTAGATGTAGGTGCAGATGTAGATGTAGATGTGAGTCTCGCTGTTGATGTAGATGTAGATGTATATGCAGGTGTAGATGTAGATGTAGCTGCAGGTGTAGATGTAGATGTAGGTCTAGATGTAGATGTAGGTGTCGATGTAGATGTAAGTGTAGATACAGATGCAGATGTAAAGAACTCCTCAGTGCCCCGCCCTCATCTCCGTGCCTGCTTGCTTTTGGTGCTGTCTCGGCGACTTGGTGCCTGCTTCTGCTGCTGCTTCACTTACGGCGTGGCGTCGGTGGTTCTGGTGCTACTACTACTACTACTACTACTACTACTACTACTACTACTACTACTACTACTACTACTACTACTACTACGACTACGACTACGACTACGACTACGACTACGACTACTACTACTACTACTACTACTACTACTACTACTACTACTACTACTACTACTACTACTACTACTTCTATCACTAGCCCAAAACATACCCGGACCCGGGGTCAGCTGGGGTGAAAAGGGCCGCCCGCTAGAGCGTTTTCGGCCTTGCCGCCACCTCGTCTGGGTACGGGTCGGTGCCCGAAACAACCATACATACCCGGACCTAGCTGGGGTGGTGGTTGGGTCACCCCGTCTAGGTACGGGTATGTATGGTGGTTTCGGGAGCCGACCCGGACCCAGGGGGGGTGATGCCCCGAGGGCCCCTTGCCACCCCGTCTGGGTAAGGGTACGGGTATCTTTCGCGCTCGAGACTACTGCTACAACTACGACGATGAGGAGAAGGAGGAGGACGGCGTTTACCGCTCTTACTAATATTGCTTTCCTAGAGGCTCCAACTCCTAGGTAGGGTCGCACTGGGATAATTGTCAGGGGGGGCAGCATCAGGCAGATCTGCCCACTTGAGGGAAAGACTGGTGGCTACGACGACGGTGTTCAATTTTTTGTCCCCTTGCCCGCCCCGCCGCCTTCTGAGAAGGCCGTGTGGCCAACATTGCCTCACCCTTCAATCAAGGGGGGAAAGCCACCCGGACCCGACAACTGGCGTTTAATGAACGGCCCTGGGCGTCTGCTAGACAGTCCTGCCCTGTTCGATGCCTGCTGTGGGTGCGTTTGCTGAACAGCTTCGCGTGTCGGGGTGATCATTATGAGGGTGGACCTGCTGCCCCCTTATCCAAACCCGGCTTCGGAGAGCCCCGGAGTGGCCAGCTCGGGCTCCCCCGGCAGCGGCGTCGTCGCCCGCATGGCCCGCCGCAGACGAGGCCGCCGCCCCCCCTCAGGGTCGCTCGGAGCTCACCGCTTGGTGAGGCCGCCGCGCTCGCGGCGGTGACCAGCTCGGCAAGGTTCATCACGATCACCGGCCGACCTCGGAGAACAAAAAGCGGCAGAAACATAAATTTTGACGGTCCTCGCGGATTTCTTGGATCTGCGATGGGCTCCTCTGGCGGCGAACAAAAAGCGGCATAAACATAAATGTTGACGGTCCTCGCGGATGTCTTGGACCTGCGATGGGCTCCCGTGGCGGCGCCGCCTTTGGCGCGCTCCGCGCGCCAGGGAGGGGATTTCAGCGCAGATCCAAGAAATCCGCACGGATCGTCGAAAGGTTATGTACATTTTTCTGTCTCTGTGATCACGATGACCCACCGACCGCTACCATCAGCGCCCACGTTACGAACCGATTTCCCGAAGGACACCCAAGGCCACGCTGCGCGATTGCTCCTGCTGCATAATCTAGAGGCCCTCTCGTTGTGTCGTGGGTTGGCAGTGCGCTTTGCACGATCGGGCTTGCGGGTTGCCTGTATTCCATCGCGCAAAGGTCAGCAGCACCGCGCTGATCGTCTTCCCCTGCAAGGGTCAGTGGTTGGTGATCCGTAAGGGCTTCGCCCCCTGCCGCCGGCCCCTCTCTCGGAGAATGGGCCATGGAAGAGCAGGTTTTGGACCCTGACCCCGCGGATCTGCGTGAGGGGTGGCACCGAATTTCAGAAATGTGGCAAATCCCCTTTGTTTTTGGACCCTGACCCCGCGGATCTGCGTGAGGGGTGGCACCGAATTTCAGAAATGTGGCAAATCCCTTTTGTTTTTGGACCCTGACCCCGCGGATCTGCGTGAGGGGTGGCACCGAATTTCAGAAATGTGGCAAATCCCTTGTGTTTTTGGACCCTGACCCCGCGGATCTGCGTGAGGGGTGGCACCGAATTTCAGAAATGTGGCAAATCCCCTGTGTTTTTGGACCCTGACCCCGCGGATCTGCGTGAGGGGTGGCACCGAATTTCAGAAATGTGGCAAATCCCTTGTGTTTTTGGACCCTGACCCCGCGGATCTGCGTGAGGGGTGTCGATTTTGAGCCCCCCCAGCAATTCAGACAACGCGCCCAGGTGGTGCTAAAAATCTGGTTTGGGCCTCCCTCCCCTCGCGCGGTCAATCAACTAGTTACAGTAACCAGCAAGAAGCAGAACTGTAACACTGGAAACTACAAACTACAACTGGTACAGGAAACTGCGAATCACGGGCCTACAGCCTGGTGGCCCCACAAGGGGGCCGGCGGATTTCTGGATGCCGAAAACATGTCGAAACCATGTCGTCAGAGCCTCTCGTTCTTCCAGAGCCTCTCGTCGGAGTGATTTCTCGTCGGAGCCTCTCGTTCTTCCGCCTCGGTTCGTGCTCGGCGCCTCACACGAGCGCCACCCTGGGGACGCTCTTTTCGACTGTCGACCGCCGGGCTTCAGACGCTTGGAGCGGAACGGACGCTCCGTCGCAAGCACCTTTGGCTTTCAAACTCGAGAGCCAGAGATGAGATCGTCATCTTTTCCAGGGAGGGGTTTGCTGTGTCCTGGCATCGCTCGGACGTGTGCATTGTTTTCTCGGCGAGAACCATCGAGGACCATCCTGGACCATCGAGCAAAAAAAAACACGCACGAAACCGAAAAATGCACGGGAAATGGACGTCCGAGCGACGGCAAGGTGTTGTTTGCCCAGTTTAGTCCACGGTTGCGGCCCTCCCATGCTGGGCGGAGCACGCAAGCAGTCGTTCGGACGGCGTGCTCGCGCTCAGATACGTCTGTTGTCGAGCAAGCGGTCAGATCTTCGTCGGGGGCCAGCGAGTCTTGACCACCAGCCAGGGGTGCTCGCTGGCGAGGCGCTCTAGGCACTCCGAGCTACCGTGGGCTGGCAGAAAGCGACGCGGAAGACGGTGGTTGCTTGACTGCTTCGGGGGCACCACGCGAATCCTCAGGAGCAGTTCGGGCGTTCCAGTCAGCGCGTCGCCATCGAAGGATCGACATCCACAGGCGCACGTCTCGCAAGCCCCGCCAAGAAATGACGATTTCTTTGAATCCAGGGTCTCCGAAGCGGGCTTCTTGACAATTCGTTATTGTCGTTCGGGGCAGCCTCGCCGCAGGAGACAGCATTGTGTTGGGGTGCTAGCGGGCCATAGCCAAGGCCGGGCTGTCCCCATGTTGCAGAACCAACACAAGGGTTTGGTTGGGTGTGCTTATTCCTCTTGTGTTGGGTAATCGTGTTGAATCGATCCGTTCGCGCCTTCGCTCCCCTCCCTCTTGAATCCCCCCTCGCTGTAACCTGTCGCTTCCGGAGTGGACTGAAGGACCTATCGGGCCATCTTAGAAGCCATCAGCAAAGAAAAGAGGGCGTCGCCGATTAGCGTAGCCACCCTGGAGACCGAAAGATCGACTCTTGAGGCCATCTTGGGGCGCTCTTAAGGCCGTGTTGTGCTTCTTATGGGCCCTTCTTGGGGTTATGTGGGCAAGCGTGGGCCATCTCGAGGCCTCGGCAGAGGCCCATCGGAAGCAAAAAGGCGAGAAGTCGACAATCATCAAAATACTTAAACGTGTTCTGATGAGTCTAGCTTCTCGGGGGTCCCCTTGGGAGGCTCCATTGCCACTTGGGACGATATCTGGGCCTCGTGTGTGCAGGTTGGAGGTCCTGTTGAGAAGTCTTGGGCTGTATTGAGCCATATTGGGTGCAATATTCGGCTATCGAGGGCCCTATTAGAGGCATCTTGGACCAAAAACGCCCCTCTGACACCTCGCGCCCTCCCCGTCCAAATTCAAGTGGTCCGAGGCGGGGGAACGGTCTTTTAATCTGTATATATATATAACAAAAAAACCCGAAAGAGCAGAAGATTGAAAAAAAACAAGTTCAATAAACAACCTACACTAGAAAGGCTAGTGGAGTTTCACCACCTTGTGCCCTGGCCCCCCAGCCGCCCCCTTCACCGTCAGCCAGCGAGTTCGACAGCGCGCCGATGATGCCACGATTCCCCCTGTGCTTGCAAAGACATATGGAAGGCGAAGGAGGGCAGAAAGAGGGTCTTGCTCGAAGAAGGGTCTCGTGTCTGCTGTCTGTGTGTTTTTGTCGATCTCTCTCTCTCTCTCTCTCTCGCTCTCGCTCTCTCTCTCTCTCTCTCTGACTTGAGGCCGTCATCGGTGGAGACGCGGCTGCCCTTCCAGCGCCCTCCCCGTGGGCATCCACCGCATCGCAGCCGCCTGGGTACGACGATTCTGCGGCTTGGGCGGCGTCGCAGCCCGCTGGTGCCGTGGCGGTGCCCGCGCTGCCGACGGCGCCGCGGGCGCCGAAATCCACGGAGCGAGAGGTGCAGCGGCAGCAGACGTGGAGGACGACCGGGCGGGGGAGGCGGGAACAGCAGGTGGAGATACGTTGGTTCAGGGCCGCTCCCAAGAGACGAGCGCCAAAGGCTCTGGGAGGTGGGGCGGGGTCAGGTGCGGTGGGCGACTCGGTGGGGACGGCATGAGAAAGGAGTCGAACTCAGCGAGGTCAGGACTGCCAAAGATTGACCCTAGGGCACAGGCAGCCAGAGATTCCAGTAGTCGAGTCAGGCGTGGGCAAAATGGGAGCCAGGTGTACAGGGGGCGCACCGTGGAAAATATGTATTCCAGGTGTCACACTAAGAGGGGGTGAACGGATTTGGGGAAGGTCTGATTTGAGCTCCCTTGGAGGGTTCCAGGCGGGTCTGGGCAAAAGGCCGCCCTTTCATGGCTGGCGTGAATGGGGTCAAAAATGGCTCGTCTGGGAGGGTTGCGACCCCCATCCCTTCATTGAGCAGTCTGCAATAGCAGTATTGCATCCTCCTCCTGCCCAGATCCTCCAACTCCTCCGCATGATCGCCATCATCCCAATCGTCGGTATCACCGTTCTCTTCCTCCTCGGGCCAAAGGGATGGTAAGATAAAGCATCGAGCGAACGCGCTTCCAGGCGCCCTCAGGGTCGGCGGGCCCATGAGAGGCGCGCCGGTGGCGAAGCACCCACAGGGGATGAACATGGCGCAAGCGGGGCGGTCGATTGTGCCTGACCAGCTCTGGCCCCTCGTTGTCGTGGCGCTATGAGATTCGCGGCGGGTTGTAGCGGATGGCGTGGTGGCGCAGCATCCCGTCGCGATTTCTTCACAACGCGAAAGAACTCCACAAGACCTCCTCCTCCTCCTCCTCCTCCTCCTCCTCCTCCTCCTCCTTCTCCTCCTCCTCCTCCCAAGCCGACCGACGTGCCGAGCCTTCGGCCCGCTGCCCGCGCCGCAGGCGCGGGGCAGGTCGCTGCCGGGGCGACCGCGGCCGCCGCGCGGCGGGCCGCCTGGCGGAGAGCCTTCCGTCGAGTTTGACCTCCGAGGTCATCTCGCTTGGCTTCGAAGGCGTCCCTCCACGTCGGCCCGGCCGTCCCGCTGCACTTTCTCCCCGCCTGGACCGTTCTCGCCGAAGCACCCTGAAGCTCCTAGTAGGAGGAAGGGTGGGGAGGAGGGAAGAAGAGGGAGGGAGAGGGGGACGAGGAAGACGACGATAACGACAAGGAGCTCTCCGCCCTTGGAGGGCAGCGTGTTACCGTAGACCAACCCAGGCACCAGACCCGCCCGGCCCAGCCGTGGTGCCAGCAGGACCAGTGGGCCGGCTGAAGATGTTGGTCTCGAGGATGTTCCGCTGAGCTCAGGGCCACCGCTGCTGCGCCAGCACGCGGGTCACAGGCCGCGGGGCGGAGGAGTGCGACTGTGACAGACCACTTCCTGCGCCACGTCGGCCACGCGCCCCAGGCCTCCGCCACAGAGAGGTGAGGCGGCAGCGCTGGGGCGCGGCGCTCCGGTGGCCAAGCGTCGGCCGCGGATGGCGGCCGATCGCGGGCCCGAGAGACCACAGGGTGCTGGTGCTAAGTCGGGCGTGTCCCTCTACAGGAGGAATATTCAAGAGTAGGAAAAAAAGTAGACTGGGAACGATTGCTCGTGCTCTTGTGACTGTTTGTGAGTATGTTTTGGCGATTGCCTGTTCTTCTTCCGAAGTCCGCCTGTGGTAGGACATGCCCGACCTAATGCCGGTGTGGCGCAGGAGGTTGTAGGTTGTAGCAGCGAGCCCGGCCGCCTCCCAGGGGCCGAGGCACGGGCGACCCCCACATCGCTGCATCTGTGCAGCCGTCTCTTGCAGGAGCGAGGTGCCGTCCTGTCCACGGTCCAGCGGATGATCCAACATGTTCTGAATGTGAGGTTCATGTCACGAGCGTCGTGCATCCGCTTCCCCCGCCTCCTTCGCCTTGGCCTGGTCTCAGTCCCCCGCGCCCCATCCCGTCCTTGGACACAGCACGCTGTCCATTCACACCCAGTCTCTCATCATTGGCACTCCCCCTTCCACTTACATGTCCCGCTCACTCTCAGACGCACGAGTTTCATTAACATAGACAATATGTATATATATATATATATGTGTGTATACGAGTTCCTTCCGCTTTAGATATGCGTGCGCATATGTATATGTATAATGTTGTTTGTCTCTGTCCCCCGTATCTCTCACGTTCACACTCGCCGCCTTTGGCCAGAAATGTTCTATTCATATCCAGATTCACTCACGCTCACGCACTCAGATCTCATTCACTCTCTCACATATCTATCCTTCAAATCCGATCGCCGAAACCCTTACCCACTCAAGGTGACTCGTATCAATGTGGTGCGCGTTCTGCTACTCATATCCGCACGATCGAACCATTCGCTGTCACTTGTACCCACCCATACACTTCACCACCGAGTACTAGCAGGCATCGCAGACGGTCATCCCGAGTGGGATCCACCAGGGGGCGTTGCACTGACACGTTCGCGCACATGCTGGCGGAGTTTTCAGGTAGAGCGTGCGTTTGTGGACATGGACACGTCTCTCTAGCTTCATGGCCACCGCGCGGTAGTAGACATCACGCTCGGGCATCCACAGGTCGGCGTTGGGCGCGCCCGTTTGCGCCCAAATTGCTTGGGCTTTCAGGTAGAAGGCGCGGTTGGGGACGTCGTCGCGAGTCTATTCATAGCCGCATGACCACTCGGGCCTCTCAAAGTGTGTCCACCAGCGGATGTTGGACGGGCCCGTTCGGTCCCAGATCTGTGGGATCTCTCAGGAAGGAAGCGCGTTTGGACAACCGAGTGCTAGCAGGCATCGCAGATGGGCCTCCCAAAGAGGATGCTTCATGGGCCCGTTCGTGCCAAATTCGTGGGGCTTCTCGAGAAGAACGCGCGTTCGGCGATGTGCACGTGACTCTCGGCAGAGTCTCTTGGTCACCGCGTGCTGGCAGACGTCACGCTCGGGCCCTCCCCAGGATGGTCCGCCAGTGGAGTGGCACAAGCAACATGGATGCACGTATGAGGTTCCCCACGTCAGTTAATCGCCCCTACACTTATCATTGCCTTCCCCTCTAAGTCTGCTCCCACACATCTCTTCCCCTTATCGGTGAGCGGGCGAGGGATCTCCTCGTCGGCGTGCTCTTTGCTCATTCTGTGCGGGCACAGGCAAGTGAGCCCCGGCGAAAGCGTTGGCTTGGTTGCACCATGTGTTGGGATGGAGAGGTCGGCGTGGTCCGGGGACACGCTGAGTTTGGCGAGATCTGGGGCACCGTGGGTCCGAAATCTCTCGTTTGCTCCCCGCCCTCGCGGGCTCCACGCGCCGCCGACGTCGAGTGGTTCCCCCCCCGCGCTCAGGCAGCGTGCCAGCCTCCAGAGGCCCGTTTCGGGCACGGGACCGTCAAGAGCTGCTCAAAATGAGAAACAGGCGTCCGGGAAGGGTCGAGAGGCCCAAGGTCACGGGATCGGGGGAGGTGGGTCCTCTTCCGTCTCCTCATGCTCGCTTTCGCCTTTGGAGGGGAGGAGGAGGAGGAGGAGGAGGAGGAGGAGGAGGAAAAGGAGGAGGAGAAGGAGGAGGAGGAGGAGGAGGAGGAGAAGGAGGTGGATGAGGAGGGCTGAAGGCGTGGGGCGGCTGGGCGTGGACGTTTCGACGCGCGCCAGGGACAGGCAGGAGGAGGAGGAGAGCCCGCCGTGCCAAGCGGGGGCGGGGGGCTGCGTTGGCGTCCGCCAGCCGTCGCAGGGGCTGCGAGAGCGGAGAGGGGAGGAGGGGGGGAAGAAGGGGAAGGGAGGAGGGGGTAGGGAGGAAAGGGCAGGGAGGAGTAACGGGTGAGCAGGGAGGGGGGAGGAAAGAGGGAGCAGGGGGAGGAGGTCGTTGCCGCGCTCAAACATAACCAGAGATGTGCTCTGTGGTTCCATCCAGCAGGCTCGATTAAACACTCATATAAGCTGCTTGCATAAAGCCTGAAGAAGAGAAGGGGAAGGCAAATCATTAGGCTAACGCCTAACATGAAGACACTACGCGAAGCCGCGAGGAAGTGGAAACGCAGTCCCAGGGCGGGAAGGCGACGACGCGGAGAGTGGCCACGGATCTGTTGTAGTGACGGCAGGCGCCCACAAAGAAGCATTGAAGCGGTGCTTGTGCGCGAACACGGCAGCGTGCCTGGGCGAGTGCTCGCACCGTAGTGCGTGCGACCAGGGTGAGGACCCCAGGGGAGAGGCAGAAGAATTCGAGGAGGAGAGGTGGGGGCACGCCAGCTCAAGGATGGCCAAGTGGGGCGACCCACGACGAGGAAGCCTGGTTTTATGAGCCGAGCTCAACAGAGACCGTACTCGGGGGGACAATCGCCCCACAGGAGGTACAGGGCGGTGGGAAGTACAGGAGAATGCAGGGCGGGAGCAACCAACAACGAGACATTACATGCAGAAGCGACTGCACTGGATACACGCAACATGAGCGCTTGGGGGGCAGTTTAGGGCAATGAGGCAAAGGAGCAGGCGGGGCGGGGGCATCCCCACAACAAGCCGCTGCTCTGCGATACATCTGCACGAGTACGCGCAAAAGAAGAGCCTGGTGCTGATGCAAAGGCCTTCGCCGAGAAAACGATGAACCCAGGGCTGAAGGGCATGCAGATGTGAGCATAAGAGTCGGCGCAAAATGCCGGACTGAATGTTGGGAGGCCGGCAAGGCTCTATTGAGGTTCCGGATCCGGGAAGGTTGCTGGAAAGGCCTTGGATCGACTTGCGAACCAATCTGACCAGCTAATTAGCTTGCTCTTGTTGCCCTGGGTATTGGACCCAGCGCAAGTGGCATACAAATCCTTTGGAAACCCAGTACAAGCGACGGCCGCGGCACATGCCGTCACATGAGCGACTGTTGCGGTAAGCGCATTGCGGGGGGCCTGCTATGGGGCGGGGCAGTGGTAGGACCTGGCGATGCTGCGAGTGGCAGGCCAAGTGTAAGCCCGGCATGTCCTGCAGCGCGGCGGGCTCGCAGGGGCGAGATCGAATCCGCACGGGGCCTAGCAGTTGGGGTGGCCGCGAGCGCGGCCTGATCCGACTGCTGCTTGCCCTCGAGCAGGCGGCGATGCGACTGGATCCCGCACCTGTCTCCACAGCCCCCTCGACTGATTTGCCAGAGAAATGCGAGCGGCGAGGTAAGCGTTCAGGTCTCCGTTAGGCCCGTGCTCCGCCAAGGTTCGCATCTGAGAAAGCGGCAAAAGTTGCGACCGGCCTTGTATGAAGGGCGATCCCAGCACTCGGTGGGCTATCATGCGCCTTGTGAAGAACTGTGCTCCTGGGCAAGACCTGGACTAAGAGGCGGACATGACGAAGGTGGACGGGGATCGGCTGACTTGAGCTGCACAGCAATGACGCCGATACGCATGCGGGGAGACCTGGAGCGGGAATGGGGGCGTCCCATCGGGGCAGGCGCGGGAATCTGCCCAGCACGAGGCCTGCTGGTGGACCTTCTCTTCAAAATAACGCACGAAGACAGCTGGGATTGGATGCGGGGGTGTCCCATCGAGGCCGAGGCCGAGGCGGGGGAGGAGCGAGCCAATTTGACAGCTGGCGCGGAAGCAAGCCCTACAGCGGCATCAGAGTGGGCGGCTCCTTGAGCTCGACCTGCGTATGTTCTCCGCGGGCGCCTCGTGAGCAGCGATTGCGACTGCGCGGGCCGGGTGGCTCGTCCGATTGGGGTGGAGCCGGGACAGAGGCCACAGGAGGCTGCGAGCATGTCTCTCATTGATCCGCAGAGACGCTGAAGGAGACGATGGGCAAAGCAGCACTCTGCGTGCAGCCTGCAGACGGGCCCACCGCTGCCGGCGGCGCCCGAGGGGAAGCGGCGCGGGCGGCGGCCTCGGGGCAGCAGCCCGGGCGGCGGTGGGCATCGAGGCGGACCGAAGGGGCGGCAGCGCTCTCGGGGGGGCAGCGGGCGGTCTTGGCGTCGGCCCGGCAGCAGCCCAGTGGCCTCGTGCGCGAAGGTCGACGCGGGGCAGAGGCTGCAGCGGCGACGCCCGATCCAGGGACAGCAGGGGCAGCGCCAGAGGCCCCGCCTGCCCCGCTGGCGCTCCCACGTTCCCCAAGCACGCTGGGCCCGGCGTGCGGGTGATGGTGTCGGGGTCGGCGGAGGCAGCCGCGGTGGCATGTGCAGTGGAAGCGTCCGCCAGCCATGCACGGTGCGGTCGTCCGGCCAGAGGCGGAAGACGCGCGCGGGCCCGAGCGGGAACGAAGGGTGAGGTGTGAGCGGATGGGGGCAACACAGCTGCGGTTTTGATTCGGGCATGGCGGGGGAGAGGAGAGAGGAGGGA